TTGTTAGAGAAGTCAGCAGTTTGGAGGTTCGAATCCCTAGCGTCGCATCCCGGAGTGAGCTCCCGTTACTCGTCCCAGCTTCTGCCAACCTAGCAGTTCGAAAACATGTAAAAAAAATGCAAGTAGAAAAATAGAGACCCCTTTGGTGGGAAAGTAACAGCGTTCCTCCATTTGCCTTCTTTGGCGTCGAGTCCTGCTGGCCACATGACCACAGAGATGTCTCCGGACAACGCCGGCTCTCTGGCTTTGGAACGGAGGTGAGCACCGCCCCCCTAAAGCCAGAAATAACTAGCACATATCTACAAGGGGAACCTCTACTTTTATCTCTTTTTAAAAAAAATAATAAGCCGTGGAAATGTGCAAATCAGAACTTTTGATGCTCTGTTTCCCCAAAGTCCCCCATTTTTAAACCTGTCTCAAATCCACAATGAGAGATGGAAGGAAGTCTACGGTTGGGTTGAGGTCATTTGGCTCCCGGCCACGAGTTGGGTGGATGTGATTTTTACTCTCTTTTGCTGCTACCCCAGACCTTTTCCTTCCTCGGGGACCCACTGCAATCATTTTGGGGGGTGTAAGGGAAACTTTTCTGGGGGGAGGGGGAGAGAAATGTCATATTTTTCTCCCTCAGCCTGTGAGCGGTTCCAGGACATGATTTAATACATCTGGAGGGAATTAAATGGAAGGCAGGGGTCTGCCTGAAGCTTTCCATGTCGGAAAAATAAAACCCCAGTTTTTTTCCCTTTCTCTCTCTTTTTTTTTTTTCCTCCTTTTTTTAATGGCTGGCACGCTCACGTTTTGGAAAAGAAGTGAGCGTGGCCTTCATTAAAACGGAGAGCGAAGGTCAGGAATTTCCAAAGAAAAGTAAAACAACGGCGTGGAACATTATCTCCACTGGCAAGCATACTTTCCCTGTTTTTATTATGTCCAACCATTTTTGTCTGGAGGGGAGAACTTGCCCATTGTGTGGAAAATTCCTCAAAAAACAGAAGCTTGGTCCGTCCTCGACTTATGACCACAAAGGACCCCAATGTTTCTGTTGCTGAGACAATAGTCACTTGAATTTCCCTCCCTTGGAAAAACCTTTCTTGCCCCGGTTATTAAGTGAAGCACCACGGTTGTCAAGTCAGTCACATGGCTGGGACGCTGCGACCGTCGTAAATACGAGTCAGTTGCCCGTTTGATCACATGAGCGCGTGGATGCGACGACAGTCGTGAGTGTGAAATTGCAAAAATATTCTGGGTGTTGAAGCTAGTTCATGCTATGCTTTATATTTATAGAACTAAATTTGACACGGCTATAGTGTGATACAGTGTGATGTAGTGTGGGACCTGGTGGCTCAGTGGCTAAGACGCCGCGCTTGTCGATCAGAAAGGTCGGCAGTTCGGCGGTTTGAATCCCTAAGCGCCATGTCACGGAGTGAGCTCCCGTTACTTGTCCCAGCTTCTGCCAACTTAGCAGTTCTGTAAAGTGGACTGTAGACCGTAATAGGCCATAAAGTGGGTGTGCGGGGTCTCTAACAATGCTTCAAGCTCTAAGCGCATAGCGCTTATAAGCTCCATCTTGAATAATGGGAAGTGGGCTTCCTATACTCTTCTCCACTGTCCTCACCACTTTCCATAGGGACTTTTGATCTGAGGCACTGCTGCCACCAAACCAAACAGGGATGTGGTTTTGTTAAAACCAGGGGTGGGATGCTACTGGTTCGGCCCGGTTCTATAGAACCGGTAACTTCGAAGAGCAGCTGACACCAAACCGGTTCACTGCAACGACTTTCTGGTTGTCTGTTTGGTCCACCCGCCTACCCGGGCTCTTGGCTGTCTTTTATTTCCTGCTTTTTCAACCTCAACTGCTTTACGCGGCACAGCAGAGGTTGAAAAAGCAGGAAAGAAGTGGATTTTCAAATGCTGCACACCTGCGCATGGCGCTTGTCAGCTATCCGGGCATCACAGTTGACGATTTTTTTTTGCAAACGCTGTCCATGTGCACGCAAAATGCACTCTCACCGAACCGGTTGTAACACCAGTTAATCCCACCCCTGGTTAAAACGCTCTCCATCGCGCCTCGGTAAAAAGTAGCCAGGACAGTAGGAGAAAGACGTGGTCTCCTCATCCGACGCAGGAAACGCAGGCGCTGGTTTGCACGCTTCACAAAGGACAACATGTAGAGAGACTAGTTCTGATTGTTAGTTATCTGCACCCCCTGATACTTAACACTATCTGGATCATTTCTGTAGCTGCATCTTTGCAAGCAACATTGCTTTTCTGCAAAGGAAAGTGAACGCAAGAGAAAACAGAAGAGGCAAAATTAAGCACAATGGGTTTTTAATTAGAACAGCGCTCGAAGAATTTTAAACATGCCGGTATGCCCATTGCTGACTTGTTCTCTTTTTCCATCTTGCATCCACATGGAAAGCTTCAAACTTCGGCCTCTTTTTGGGGAACTTTTCATTTCTTCAGATCTATTTTTAACCAATTTGCTGCTGCGTGGGAAAGATAATTTTGTTAGGAGAACCACTGACAAAACATAAAGCCCAAACTACGGACACTCTTCCATTTATTATTTGTTTAGTGATCGTTCGAAGTTTCCACATCGCTTAAAAAAGCGATTTAATAACTTTTTTTTCCACACAGCCATTCTAGCATCTTCCAAGGTCATGTGCAGAGGTGGGCTGCTGCTGCAGGTTCGGATGGGTTCACCGGAACCCCTTGTTCCAATTCTGAGCAGTTCGGATAATCGGCAAATCAGACCACCGTCTGGCCCTGCCCCATCTGTTTTTCGGGCCATTTTCAGCTGTTTTTCAGGTGAAAAACAACCTGAAAAAGGCCTGAAAAACAGGCTGTTTTTAGGCTGTTTTTAGGCCAGTTTTCGGGCCATTTTCAGGCAATTTGGGGGTTGTTTTGGGGGCATTTTCAGGCCATTTTCAGGCCATTTTTCAAGACATCTTTCAGGACATTTTTCAGGCCATTTTTGAGCCACTTTCAGGTCATTTCCTGGCCATTTTTGGGCCATTTCCAGGCTGTTTTCAGGCCATTTTTTTCAGGCCATTTTTGAGCCATTTTCAGGTCATTTGGGGGCCATTTTTCAGGCCATTTTCAGGTCATTTCCTGGACATTTTCAGGCCATTTTGGGGGCAGTTTTCAGGCCTTCTGGCTATTTCCAGGTTATTTTCTGGCCATTTTTAAAGTCGTTTTCAGGCCAGCCATTGGTGGGATTAGCCCCAACCAGCTGAATCCTCCCTCTTCCTTTGAGGCGGGTGGCCGAGAACCGGGGCTGGGTGTGATGGGTGACATCACCCATCCAGTCACATGACCAACTGGCCACACATTGCCTACCCAGCCAGAGAACCAGTTGTTCCAAAATTTGCATCCCACCACTGGTCACGTGATCAAAATTCAGACACTTGGCAACTGGCATGTACTTATGACAGCGGCATTGTTTCACGGGCCCCCTTTTGCGACCTTCTGGCAAGCAAAGTCAATAAGGAAGCCGGATTCACTTAACAATCATGTTACTAACTGAGCAACTGCCTTGATTCCCTTAACGACTATGGTGAGAAAAGTTGTTAAATGAGGAAAAGATTCATTTTACAACTGTCTGACTTGGCAGCAGAAATTCTGGGCTAGACTGTGATCATAAATTGAGGATTATTTGTATATCCAAATAATGAAGTGGAATGAAGTGAAAGACCTTGAAAATTTAGCACGGGGTACCTTCCACATAGATTAGTGGACTTCCTTATTCAATCTGTTTTTGGATTATGGATTTCCTGTCTGGCCGCTCACCGAGGGTCAGATTAGGTAATCATACCTCTTCAGCCCTTATTCTTAACAATGGTACACCACAGGGTTGCGTGTTGAGTCCCTTACTCTATACTCTTTATGGACATGACTGCTTTCCCATTCATGCTAGTAATACTATTGCTAAATTTGCAGATGATCCAATAGTGGTGGGACTCACTTCCACGGAGGATGAGTCTGGCTACTGAGATGAGGTGGACCAGTTGCTTTCGTGGTGTGGAGACAACAACTTGGTCCTCAACACCAATAAGACCAAGGAGCTGATAGTGGACTATATAGAAGGAACAGATCAGACCTCCAGCCCTGGCTTCTCAAGGGAGACCGAGGGGAGCAAGTGGCCAGTTTGAAGTTTCTGGGTGTTACCCTAAAAGAGGACCTGACCTGGGGGGCTCACATTGCAGCCCTGGTCAAAAGGGTCCAACAGAGATTATACTACCTGAGACTTCTCAGGGAACAACAACTGAGTGAAAAATTGCTGGTGACCTTCTACCGCTGCACCAGAGAGAGTATCTTAACTTTCTGCACCTGTTTGCCAATTGCACCGGGGCAGATAGGACAGCGCTCCAGAGGGTGAATGTCATTGCCCAGAGGATCATGGGTTGCCCTCTCCCCTCTTTGGAAGAGCTTTATAGCTCCCACTGCCTTAAGAAAGTTCAAAACATCCTCAAAGATCCATCTCATCCTGGGCACCTCCTTTTATTTGAACTATTACCCTCTGGCAGACGGTACAGGAGAATAAAAACAAGGACAAATAGGCTGAAAAACAGCTTCTATCCCAGGGCAGGAGCTCTGTTGAATTCTGCTGTATAGTGTAGTGTTGGTGCGATATCAGGGGTTTTCATTTCAATATGTGGAGTGTGAAGGAGGTGTGCTTGTGTTTATTTTCATGGTCATGGTGTGCATCGAAGATGGTGTTTGATTTCATTGTATGAGGTGCAATGACAGTAAAGTAAACTAATGAACTAACTAAACTAACTTCTACGTACTTCTGGAGGCCTACCTTCCCTAAGTGATGTTTTTCTCACACTGACCGACCCACATCCAAGCCTGCGGGGCGAGAGGAGTGATCCTTCTCGTTCCTTCACCACATCCTCCACCAGTTTTTCCTGTTCCTCCAAGGAGGATGAGTTGTGCGTGTGTGTGTGTGTGTGTGTTGTGTTTGAGAAGAATGACTGACGTGCGTGTGGGATCCGAGAAGCAACATGGCCAACCGGCTCTCGGAGGGAGACCTGAGAGAACTCAAGGATGCCTTTGCGCTCTTCGACCAAGATGGCGACGGGCTGATCACCTCCAAGGAGGTGGTGACCGTGATGAGATCTCTTGGGAAAAACCCCACGGAATCTGAGGTGCGGAGCATCGTCGGTGAGATCGAGGCCTACAAGGGCAAAGTAGATTTCCCAAGGTTCCTCTCCATGATGGCCAGGAGGACAAGGCATTCCGACACCAAGGAAGAGATCCAAGCTGCCTTCCGCGTCTTTGACCGGAATGGAGACGGCTACGTCAACACGGCAGAGCTGCGACACGTCTTGACCGCCGTTGGGGAGAAGCTGACGGACGAAGAGGTGAAGCTGTTGATCAAGGAGATGGACAGGAAAGGGGACGGGAAGGTCAACTATGAAGAATTTGCGCGAATAATGGTGGAGAAGTAACGTCAAGGTACAATTTCTTCTCAGGTTGGTGATTCTTCCAAAGGTGCTGTTGTGAAACGGATGTTTGGAATGGCCACCTTATGTCCAATAATTAGAGGAGAAGTCCAACGTATACTACAGAGTACATAATAGCAGGGTTAGAAGGGACCTTGGAGGTCATCTAGTCCAACCCCCTGCTCAAGCAGGAAAACCTTAACCATTCCAGGCAAATGCTTGTCCAGTCTCTTCTTGAAAACATCCAGTGTTGGAGCATTCACAACTTCTGGAGGCAAGTAGTTCCACTGATTAATTGTTCTCACTGTCAGGAAGTTTCTTCTTAGTTCTAGGTTGGATCTGTCTTTAATGATCTTCCATCCATTGTCTCTCCTTCCTTCCTTCCTTCCTTCCTTCCTTCCTTCCTTCCTTCCTTCCTTCCTTCCTTCCTTCCTTGTAATAGACTCATATGTCTGAAAGGGATCTTAGAGATCTTCTAGTCTAACCCATGTTCACGCAGGAGACCCTATACCATTCAGGACAAATGGCTGTCCAATCTCTTCTTTAAAAACCTCCAGTGATAAGGCACCCATTTCTTTAACAAGAGATCTATCTAATCAGTAAAACCCAAAATCAAAGTTTCTTCCCCCCCCCACCCCACCCCGAGCACAAAATCCAGAAGCGGTTTCCAAGGAGAAGCAAATGTAATTGTGTTTCTTTTTCTTTTATCAAAGCAGATGATTGGTTTGCTATGGAGTTTTTACACTGTTGTGGTGTTGTATGCTACCCAGAGTCACGTGATTGTGAGGTATTTGTGGAGTATATAAATATGCTGAATAAATAAATGCAAATTGTTTACAAAAGATGATTTGAACTTGAAACGTTTCAAATTTGAAACGCGCATCCAGCAGGCACGGAACTCTTCCGTAGTCAGAACAATGCCGGGATTCTTCCGTTAAAGTTGGAAACTTCCAATACGCATTGACCTCAACGTGATTCATATTCAAAAATGCTTTGAACACCTCGGTGTGCCACCCAACACTTGGTTGTAAGCCAAAGGCAATCCAGAAGGGAGACATAGTAGGGTAATCTCAACATTCACACAGCAGGCAGGACTATAAGAAATTTGTCAAGCGCACGAGGTGGAAAGAACAATAATATAGCGAAGAAAAATTAGGATACTATAATTTATCTGAGAACAAATTTCCTGACAGTGAGAACAATTAATCAGTGGAACAACTTACCTCCGGAAGTTATAGATGCTCCAACACTGGAAGCTTTTAAAAAGATGTCGGATAACCATTTGTCTGAAGTGGTGTGGGGCTTCCTGTCTAAGCAGGGGGGTGGACTAGAAGACCTCCAAGGTCCCTTCCAACTCTGTTATTCTATTCTATTCTATTCTATTCTATTCTATTCTATTCTATTCTATTCTATTCTATTCTATTCTATTCTATTCTAATCTCTATTCCAATTCTATTCTACTCTAGTCTATTCTCTAATGAAGGAATTCTAGCAACTGCTGTGTTTCAGGAACAAATCTTGGATCATTTTTTTCCCCGAATCTCGGCAACTTTAAGATGTGTAGACTTCAATTCCCACAGAATGGTGGGATTGAACTTTCACACATCTTAAAAGTTGCCCAGATTCCAAAACATTGCCCAGGACAGAGAAACAGTACTTAGATTTGGAACGTAGAACACAGGGACCTCAGAGATCTTCTAGTCCAGTGGCTGCCAACCAGTGGGCTGGAGACCCACTGGTGGTCCATGAGAAAATTTTGATGGTCCGCAGAGAAATGTCACCACCAAAGCAATTAATCCAGGCTGCGCGGGAACACAAGGCTGTGCCGCCCACATGTTCCGTGGGAACACAAGGCTTGCATTGCGAACAACATGAGGTAGTGAGGGGAGGGGGGAAAGGGGGGAGAACTTGCCCCACTCGCCCCGCGCGTCTGGCCTGGCCACCGGGCTGCTTCTCCCTGCTTCTTTCTTCTTCTGCTTTCGGCTGCACGCAAGGAAAACAGCCGAAGTCTTTCTTTCTCTCCCTCAAACTCCGCCAGAAGTGAGTCTTTGCAAGGCCTCCTGCTCCAAGAGGCGCCGTCGGCAAAGACTCATTTCTGGCGGAGTTTGGGGGAGAGAAAGAAAGAGTTCTGCTGCTTCTGCTGTTTTCTTTGCATGAAGCCAAAAGTCTCTCTCTCTTTCTCTCTCTCTCCCTGAGAACAGAGCTGGAGACAGTATCCTGCGATCCCAAATAAAGAACGATCGATCGGTAGGAAAATGGGGTTGGAAATTTTCCTGCAGACTTTTTTGGGGGATTTTCACAGGGTCTCTGCTGTTTTCTGCAGAGACCCTGGGAAAACGTCAGCCAAGCCACCGTCAGTCAAAATTCATATTAGTGGTCCGCGGAATTTAAAATTACGTGTTTGGTGGTCCCTGAGGTCCAAAAGGTTGGTGACCCCTTTTCTAGTCTGACCCCCTGCTCAAGTAACCCAACTGTTGAATGAAAGCCAAGGATAATCCAGAGTGGAGAAACGGTAGGGTCATCTCAACCATTCACACGGTAAGCAGGACTATAAGCAGTTCTTCAAGCTCACAAGGTAGAAAGAACAATAACAGCTATTGGCCTAGATGGAGGAACAATACTTAGACTTTACTGACTGTGAGAAATGACTCTCCCAGGTAAGAACAATGTGTGGGACATCCTTAACCTTGTGATTTCACATTTCATTTCAATGGAGGAAATTGTTAATGCTTGTGTGATTAAATTAAAAGGTGGACCTGACTCGACAGAGCTACCTCAACTTCCGTGGGGCCTTCAAGAGAGGTTGCAGTGAACATTCTCCATATTCCCAGCCAGCATGACTTCCAAGTTGTCTTCTCAAATCAGATTGTTGACTTTGGCAGGGCGTGAAGAAGGCGTCGCGAATGAAAACGTTCGATATTAAACATGACTTCACAAATATTCTTTCCGTCTTTCGTGGATTTGTTCTGTGGGGTCCTTGGTGCTGTCTGAGCATGGGTTGTTTTTTTTGCAGACGATTCTTTACCGAACCATGTAAGATCATCAGTGTTAAAAGGAAGTAGGGTTTGCTGGGAGGAGAAGACTGTGGAATCCTGAGGACTCTCTGAGCTTGGCTTTTTTCATAGATGTTTCATGACCCAACTAGGTAACGTCATCAATGCTAGAAAGAAGTGGGGTTTGCTGAGAGGAGGAGGAGGAAGAGGAGGAGGAGGAGGAGGAGGGATTGTGGGGTCCTGGGTGCTCTCTGAGCTGGGTTGTTTTATTGCAGATGTTTCATGACCCAACTAGGTAACATCATCAGTGCTTGAAGGAAGTGGGTTTGCTGGGAGGAGGAGGAGGAGGAGGAGGAGGAGGAGGAGGAGGAGGAGGAGAAATAAGAAGATCCCTGCAATCTTCTCATCCATCCATCCTTCCATCTATCTGTCCATTCCTTCCATCCATCCATCCATCCATCCATCCATCCATCCATCCATTCATTTTATATGCCACCCATTTGACTTACAACAGAACAAGCTTGTTGAGATAAAACACTAAAACATTAAGGTCATAAATATTGATGTTAAAATTAATATTAATAGAAAGAACAATGAGAAGGAAGGAAGCAAGGTACAAACAGGTGGAGGTAAAACCTTTATGGAACCAGAGCTTGTAGTTTATCGGTGTTTATTTACTTGCTTAGCCATTATGCTGGGACAGGTTTTGAAAAGGGAAGAAAATAAGATAATTGGCAGATGAAAAGTTACAGACTGGAGTGGAACAAGAGGACAAACTGTCATTCAAGCTGAACCCTGATCAATTACTCAACCCAACATCGCAATGAACACTTGCAAAGATCAATCCAGCCTGGAATTTGGTATTTCACTACAGATAGTCCTTGATATACAACCACAATTAAGTCTCAAATTCTTGTTGCTAAATGAGATATTTGTTAAGTGTCAGGATTCCGGCAGTTACCCCAATTAAATTAAGTTAAGTTAAGTTAGTTAAGTTAAGTTAAGTTAAGTTAAGTTAAGTTAAGTTAAGTTAAGTTAAGTTAAAGTTAAGTTAAAGTTAAGTTAAATCATGAGTCTCGAGCCAAACTTCCAAAATTTCAAAAGGATTTATTGGGAGTTACCATGTCCGGCACTGCCTGGGTGCAGCCGACTCTGAGACACATCATTCATTGTCCCCCTTGACCCTGGTTTCCCCCACCCCACCCCCTGGGTGTATCATAATCCATATTCTCCAATGGGACACCTACATAGCCCAGAATCATCAATCATGCTCTCCAGTTAGAATTTTGCATGGCACAAACTTCAGTCGCCTAGTTACAGTCTTTGGAAACATTTATGGAATGCACTTTCGGTTTGCAAGCTGCCTCACTGCTCCCCACTCCCTTTCTGCTGGCAACTCTAAAAAAGACCCTAGAAATATTTTATGAGTTGACATGTGAGTTTTTGCCCTATTTTACGACCTTTTTTTGGCCCCTGTTATGCGAATCCCTGCAGTTGTTAAATTAGTAGTCCGGTCGTTAAGTGAATCGGGCTTTCCTCCCCCCATTGATATTTGCTGGTCAGAAGGTCACAAAAGGGGATCACGTGACCCAGGGCGCTGCAACCGTCATAAAGACGAGTCAGTTGCCAAGCATCTGAGTTTTGATCACACGATCCTGAGGATGCTTGCAGTGATTGTAAGGGTGAAAAATGACCTTAAGCCACTTTTTTCCAGCACCGTCATAACTTTGGTCACTAAATGAACTGTGGTAAGTTTGAGGACTACCTGTAGTGACTACTTAATTACCCCTTAAAAAAAACACCTTCCAAGATTATGAATCCAGATCTTGCTTATTCTTAGTTTCGGGAGCAGAGAGGTATAAACTTCTTTCGAAGCTGGAAGCTCGATGTTGTGGCCTGTCAGCTGCTGGCCCCTCCAGTAGCCAAATCAGAGGAGGAGGAGGAGGAGGAGGAAGAGTCAGGTTCGGCATCGGGGCAACTGGGGAGCTCCGAAGGGGGAAGAAGGAATGGAGCTGTCAGAGAGAGAGGGGGGGGGAGGGAGAGGGGGCAGGGAGGAAGAGAGAGAGAGAGAGAGGGAGGAGAGGCTGAGCCGTCCGTCAGCCCTCAGGTGGAGAGTCAACAGCCCCCAGGTGTGGAGGTGGCTGATGTGGAAGAGGTGGAACAGCCGGGTCCAGTGCCTGACGCATGGATGTACAAAAGGCAGAGGAGAGGAGAGCAGTGGAAATCTATGAGCCGGTCCTCGGGACGGAAGAGCCACCACTGCTAGCGAGGCTCCATCCTAGTTCTGGGGATAAAAGGCAGGGGGCGGAGATGAATAGGTGTGGCAGATAATTATTCATCTTCCAGACGGACAGACTTGTTAGTCGGCAATGAGAGAGAAACTATTTGGCCGGGATGCCGGCGCTCCTAATAAAGGAATCTTTGAGTTCACTTCAGAGGGCTTGTCATGTTTGAGGAGCTGGGTCAGAACGCTCCATTCAAAGATTGTGCCGAATAACAAATACAGAGATAGCCCTTGCTTAATGACTGGTCACTTAGCAAATATTCAAAGTTATGACGGACTTCACCAGAGTTACTGACAACCCTGTTCTGGAGGGTCACTTCCTCCGTGGGATCACATGATCACGTTTTTGGTGCTTGGCAACCAACTCACATTTGTTTGTGGAGTCCTGTGGTCAGGTGACCACACAATTTCTTCATGTATGTTTCCCGCAAAATAAAACCTTCTGACCATTGTGATGACCCAGGGTGGGATACAAAATAAACACAGTCACAAAAAAACAGGGGAAGCCCCTTTTATTCCTTCCCTTTGCTTCCAAGCTCCAAATATACTTGACTGGAGACAAAAAAAACCTCCCCCACAAGCAGTTACAAGAAGGAGGAAATGCCGTTTAAATTATAAAGAGTAAAAAACAACACAAACCAGGCAAGATAAGGGCTGGAGGACGTCCACAGATAACAGAACACACATTGGGAAGGAGGCCAAACTCAGAGAGGAACCATAAACTAGAGATATTTCCATGCTTTGTTTCCAGCGCTCGCCCGTACGCATGTCCACCCTCTTATTCAGTTGTCACAGCTGCAGCCCATGAAGGGGATCAGGGCCCTTTCCTCCCCCATAGACCACTTCTCTCCCTGATCCTCTCCTCCCTGCGTGCCCTAGGATGGAGAGGGGATGGGCCTGGGTCCTCCTCTGACTGCTCAGCCAGCCTCTGCCCTTCCCCAGCCTCCTCCACCACCTCCGGAGCCACCCTTCCACTCCCTGTCGGCTGTTCCTCCTCTCCCTCAGCGTCCGTCTCCACCAGGGACATGACAGCCATTAAGTGAAATGGGTTTGCTTAACCGTCACTGCAAAAATGGTAATAAATTTGGCGTGGTCATCTGGTGACCTGCTTAACGACCACCACGATGTAAGACTGTAATTCCAGGCTCAATTATAGCCGTAAATCAAGGATTACCCATAATGCATCATTGCAGTTCCATAAACCTACCCACTTTCCAGATTTAACTCTGTGTTTTCCAACCTTGGCAACTTTCAAGTGCCGTGGACTTCAATTCCCAGAATCCCCCAGACAGCATAACTGCTTAAGGAAGAAAATTCACTCCTACACCATTCCTGCCAGGTGGCAATCTACCTTCTTCCTAAAAGGAAGAGAGTCATTATCTTTAAAAACACATTCTTGTCTGCTTCTCTAATCGCTCATCCATCAGGAATTCATTTCAACGCCTTAGCCCAATTTGCGCCTATCGCTCACTTTGGAATCTCCATTTCCATATTGTTGTGATGTTTCAGTTGAGTATTAATTACAAGCTCTAGCCAGGAGTAATCATTACAAGAGATAATCTTCACAGAGGAGCACACACAACCCCCAATCAAAGAGTATCAAGCTCAGAAGGGAGATCATTGGAAGGTACCGATTGTTAGAGAAGTAAAAGGAAGGAATGCGAAGTGGGTTTATTTGACCGAGGTTAAAATAGATAACGTTGCTATCGCTAGTGAGCCTTAACAGACATTTTGCTGACAGCAGGATTAAAATGACCAGGCTGTAAAGATCTATTTATCTATATAAAAAAAAGATGGGATACACGGAGATAATTTTTGTTGTATTTTAAGAGAAGTTGAGAAGTTATCAAAATGGTTTGTATTTGTGAAGAAGGGAGAAGTCATTTTGCTACGACTTTCTGTTTTTGGCCTGTACCGTAGTAGTCTTTCCAAAATTGATAAATACATAAATAAAAATATATTCTTATATTTTTCTTTCTTTAATACTTTTCTTTTTGGCACTAAATCTTTTTTTCAGTTTCTATAGGTAGTCCTCAGTGGCGGATTTCAAACAGTTTTACCACCGGTTCGGTGGGCATAGCTTGGTGGGCATGCTTTGCGTGGATGCATACACTTTGCGTGCGCGCGCACGCCAAACACACATTTTGCGCAGGCACAGAGGTGTTCCAACTCACCTCCCGCAAGCCTGCATCTCTCCCGGGTTGCTTCAGCAGCTGACGCAAGGCACTCTGCTGTGCCGCGCAAAGCAGCCGCGCATCAAATTCAGAGGATAAAGGTGAATATGGCCCAACGGCAGAGTGGCGGAGAGAACTGGTTTGGTCTCCTTTGCTCATCACTGATACCGGCTCGGCAGAACCAGGCCGATCCTGTAGAATGCCACCACTGTTGACTTACAACCAGGGGTGGGATTCAACCAGTGTAACAACCGGTTTGGTGAGTGTGTACTTTGCGCGTGCACAACGGTTGCAACTCACCTTCTGCTGCAAGCTCTGTGTGTAAAACAGCTGACGTGCAGCAATCCACGCAAAGCAGCTGAGCTAGAAACCCTGGAAATAAAGCACAGCTGGGGCGGGCAAGTGGGCCCAACAGCTGATCATCGGAGCAAACCACTCGCAGTTGATCTTCAGAGATATTGGTTCAGCTTGACTGAGCTGAACTGGGCCGAACTGGTAGAATCCCACCGCTGTTTACAGCCATTCTTTTAGTAACAGTACAAAATTACAACAGGCCCAGGAAAACAAAGTGACTTACGACCTGTTTCACGCTGACGACCGCCGGAGAATCCCCCATGATCACAGGATCAAAATCAGGACGCCTGTCAACTGGCGTGGGCTTGTGACGGTTGCGGTGTCCCTGGGGTCCCGTGATTCGCTTTTGTGACCTTCTGACAGACAAAGTCAACAGGGAAACCAGATTCTCGTCAAAACCAGGTTACGAACACGTGTAACGATTCCCTTAGCAACTGTGGCAGGAAAGGGGGCAAAACTCACTTAACAACCATCCTGCATAGCAACAAAAGTGTTGGGCTTGATGGTGGATGACGTATGTTGAGGACTGTAACCGTTTTCATTTTTGTGTGTGTGTGATTGGCATTTTTAATTTAAAAAATCATAAAATAAATGTAGGAAAAGGAGTGTTTGAGGGCCATGAGATGATTGTATGGCAGTGGTGGCATTCTACCAGTTTGGCCCGGTTCTACCGAGCCGGTAGCGGCAATGCGTAGCAGAGACCGAACCGGTTCTCCAAAGTGTACGTTTTGCAAAGTGCGTTCACGCATGCAAAGTACGCCCACTGAAGCCCCACTCGCCGAACTGGTGGCAAAACTTTTTGAATCTCATCCCTGTTTTATGGCGTTGGCTTCATGAGAACATCAGGGTTAGAGTAGCATCCTGGTGCCACACACATCCTGGCTTGTTACGCAACAATAATGAAGATATCCTGACCTTTCCACCCATGCTTGAGGTTGCCATGGATTATGGGATCCCTCCCTACCTCATCAACCAACCCAACAACCACCCACCTTCTTACCTTGTGGCAAGGTGGCATTCCAGAAGGTTCCCGAGCTCCCAAACCTGGGCCTGAAACCACAAGCAGGGTGGAGACTGGACTTGTGGTTCTTTTCGCCTCCTACTATCAGACACCAGATTTTCCTGTCTCACCAGAGATAAACCCAGAGTGTTTCTCTTCTCTTCAGCAGAGAGAGAGAGACACACACGCACACATACACAACGTTGGGTACAACACGGCCGGCAAGATGTCCCACAAGTTCACCAAAGCTGAGATCGAGATCTTCAAGGAGTCCTTCAGCCACTTTGACTTGAACGGCGACGGAGTCATCACCAAGAAGGAGCTGGGCACCGTCATGCGGTCCCTCCAGGACATTCTTCAGGAGACCTTCACCGACCAGGAGGTGGAGGACATGCTGAAGGAGGCTGACCTGGATGAAGACGGGAAGGTCACCTTTGAGGAGTTTGTGAAGATGCTGGCCAAGAAGGGGGCCTAGTGAAGGAGGAAACCCCCGGCTCTTTTCTCCTTGGTACGGTGAGGAAGCGGGGGAGACGTGGGGGGGCGGGGGCAGCCAGTGAGGATGTTTCTAGGGTGTATTGTGGTTTGGGCTAAACCTGGTTTCTTTGCTTCTCTCTTTCTCCTTTCTCTTTCCCTCTTCCTTTCTTCTGC